CTGGAACTAGAATAGTTGTGGCTGAAATGGTTCAGACTGTCACTATTGGCCCTATTGAAGCATAGTATACTGGAGATGGTGAGATTTTGGGGAATCTACCTGTAAAATGTAGGAATTCTGCATGAGATTTTGAACTGTTTTGAACTCAGATTTTGGCCATACTAGACTCCATTTTGGATATGGGTCTCGAGCAGTCTGGAGTGGCTCATGAGTGTGAGTACCAACCTCATGGTATACTGCTAAGAAGCAAGGCACAGACACCAAGCTGAGATTTCACTAATCATGTAACAGCCTTAACATGGAATCACAGACAATCCCTTTGGGTATTCTGATCTATTTTGCCACCCAGAGAAGCCTGTCTTTGATAGATGGTCCCTAAATCACAACAATATTCAGGTTTCAGAGGAACAGCCGTGTTAGTCTGTATTCGCAAAAAGAAAAGGAGTACTTGTAGCACCTTAGAGACTAACCAATTTATTTGAGCATGAGCTTTCGTGAGCTACAGCTCACTTCATCAGATGTATACCGTGGAAACTGCAGCAGACTTTATATATACACAGAGAATATGAAACAATACCTCCTCCCACCCCACTGTCCTGCTGGTAATAGCTTTTCTAAAGTGATCATCAGGTGGGCCATTTCCAGCACAAATCCAGGTTTTCTCACCCTCCACCCCCACACACAAATTCACTCTCCTGCTGGTGCTAGCCCATCCAAAGTGACAACTCTTTACGTAATCAAGTCGGGCTATTTCCTGCATAAATCCAGGTTTTCTCACATTCCCCCCCCCACCCCCATACACACACAAACTCACTCTCCTGCTGGTAATAGCTCATCTAAACTGACCACTCTCCAAGTTTAAATCCAAGTTAAACCAGAACATCTGGGGGGGGGGGGGGATGAAGTGAGCTGTAGCTCACGAAAGCTCATGCTCAAATAAACAATATTCAGGTTACTCCTAGTCCCAAAGGACTATTCGCTTACCCCAGGTCAAGTGCACCTTTTATCTCTCACCAAAGACAATGCTTGTAGCCAATCCTATAATTAAAGATCTTTTAACTGGGAAAAAGAAATGAGTTATTTATAAGGTTTAAAGCAGGTGAACTACATGCACATACAGATGAGTTGGTCTTAAGTTTCAAAAAGTAATAGAAGCTGCTGTATGTCCTTCAGGTCTAACCCTAGCTAAACAACTGGGGATCCCTTGTTTATGCTTAGAAATCTTGTCCATGCCCTGAATTCCAAGCAGGACAGGGATTTTTATTCCCTTCCCGCAGAGCTCAAGATGATGGGATGAATGTTTATCTCGTCGTCTTTGGTATTGAGGGAGAAATCAATGATGTCTTTTGTCCATTGATGTGCCACAATGGCTTGTCTGATGTTTACAGGCTTTGATTTGTTGGGCAGGAGATGACACCTCTTGTGGTAAACTAGTATTTCCCACTTGGTAATTCTTTCCTCACTGTGAATGTATAGTTTTAGAGCAAACACTTAAATATTTACCTTTATAACATATGGTACAGAGGTTTATAAGCAAGCTTAATACATGCAGCATCCTACAAGCATTCCCTAAAAACTAGGGCAACCATATTTCCCTATGCTGAATACATGGCACCTAGTAAAATTACTTGTATTTGGGGCAACTTCAGTGGCAATCAATCAGAACTATGCAGTACAAACTTTCAAATTAACATCAAGGTGACTGAGCCCCAGTTAAAAAGGATCCAACTACACAGTATTTCTTTTTATTTACCTTCTTATCTTTAAGGCTTTAGGCTCACAGGGGGAGGACACGGACGGGGACTCTCTCTCTCCCTACCTACCTACCTCGCTTACACAGGGGGAGGTGACTGACCCTCCCTGCCAAGCACTCCACCCTCCATGCCTGGGCCCCCTGGATGCCGTGCCTTCCTGAGGCAACGCGTGTGGGGGTATGCAGGTATGCCTGCTCCCCCCACCCCAATTTCTGACAGGGTTTACACCAGAATATGGGCCAGCAGCAGCAGCCTTTCAACATTGCAGGAGGGAAGGTACCCCTGCTTCCAGCTGCAGAGGGGCAAGGGATGACCTGGCCTGTGTCTTTGCAGAGCTCTTCTCTTCTCCTCCCCCGCCACCCCTCCAGCTGTGCGGGCAGGAAGAGACAAGCCGCTGCACCCACTGATAGCCAAGCTCCCTGCCCCAGCTCTCCTCCTCCTCCTCCCCTGAGCACGCCATGTCCCTGCTTCTCCTCCCAGGTTTGCTGCCACAAAACAGCTGTTTTGCGGCGTAACAAGCTGAGGGAGGTGGGGGGAGGAGTGGAAATGCGGTGGGCTCAGGGGAGAGGTGGGGAAGGGGCAGGGATTTGGGGAAGGAGTCCAATGGGGCAAGAAGGGGGCAGAGTTGGGGTTGGGACTTCAGGGCTGGAAGGGGTGGAGTTGGGGTGGGGAGGTGCGAGCATCCACCAGCGCCAGGAGAAGTTGGCGCCTATGATTGCAGGGGCTTCAGTGAACCAGGCCAGAGAGGTAGCTCAGTAGAGGGGGAGCAGCCCCATGCTCCCAGGGGGCAGTGGGTGAAGAGGGTGCTAAGCCCCTGCCCCGGGGCTGGCTGCTGTGGAGCCTGCAGGTTCAGGGCAGGAACAGGCTGGAAATTACTTTGCCCCAACAGCGCCCCCCCCCCCCCCTCTTGACACATACACACTCCAGAGTTTAGCTGACGGGCAGAGAGCCTACCCCATGCCAGCACTGTGTGAGGCTTTGACACATGTGGGGCTCTGCTCCTCCTGGCCAGTCCCCTGGGCCAGAGGGTCTTGGGCTTTCCCTGGGGGCCAGCCCAGCCAGATGCAGAGGGGGAAGGAAGGAGACTGCTGGTGAGCCAAGCACTCCGAGCAGGGGCTGGTTCTCTGCACAGCACTGGGAATGAGACTTGCACTGCTGGGGGTGATATGGAGGAGCAGCAGCATTCGGGAGGAGGGGTGAAGGGGCAAAGCAGAGAGAGAGAGGATAGCAGGAGGGGGAGCACATAAAGAACCAGTGGGTCGAGTATAGGTGACATGTAACAGGCCACTGCCTGGTGCCTGCTGGCACTCAGTAGCTATCGTGGCTCAGTGTGCAGCCAGTGCTGGCCAAAAACGGGATGGGGAGCAGGGCCCTGCTGGATGAGAGCCAGCATACAGTGGGAGCTGCACTGATTGGACTAGCGGGGGGGAGCAGCCAACCCCATCTGCTGCATCTTTACCCCATCACCAACCTTGCACCCCCCCATCGTCTGCCACCCACTCACTCACCCACTACTGGTGGGTGGGCAGCTGGTGAGCAAGGATCTGGCCTGCAGTAGGACTTGCTGGTACTGATGGGGGGGACGGACAGAAAATACAGGACAATTTGCCAGTTTAAGAAAGTCGGAACCCCTGCAGGAGGGCTTTAATACAGGACCCTCCCCCCCCCCCCCCCCTTTAAAAATGGGACATCTGGTCACCCTGATAAAGACTAAACACATTCTTAACTTTAATATCTATTTTACCAATACTAACACACAGGGGAGCCAGACAGGCCTCCAGCTAGGCATCTGTCAGTGTTCATTTGAAGCCTAGGGGCCTTGGCATGAGCTGATGTCTGGTCTGGCAGCATCACTATTGGTTTCTTTACTTTTGTCCTGTTGAACTAGATTTCCAAAGGCTAGTGGAAAAAGGATAACGAAAGAGGAGTTGATTTAAATGTATTGCCACTGAAATATAATTTGTTGACCAAAATTTCTCTCCCCCAATAAACCAGTTCTCCTGGTTCAGAGCCAACTTGCTTAGCAACAGTCACCTGGTAAGCAGTAAGGTCACCTGGTCTGTCTGGGATCACCTGTGGAGGCTGACCAGGGACTTGTTTGTAAGGGGCAGAAGCTACTCTATTTAGTCAAAAGCCATTTTTTACCAGTTTAAGATGAGGGAAACAGCGGCAGGGAGAGGGGGACCCTGCCTGAACCGTCTCCCAAAGGGAAGGATGAGCTAGTCGGAGGAAATGTATGTAGGGTTTATTTTGTAGAGACCTGTATCTTTCTCATGCTGTTAAAGAGCAATGCTGTGTTCAAGTCTGTATATGCTACATCTACTGTGTTTCCTCCTGAGAAACTTAAACTGTAACTTAGAAGGCTCTCACCTTCGGTAGGAGTCTGGGATAATGGTTATTTAAGTTACTGAGGTACCTTGAGGGGGTTCAGCGCTGGACCTGGGGGCCAATGCTTGGGGCCTCACTTCCATAGGGTAACAGATTGAGAGTGGTGTCTAGCAAATGTGCCAGAGAGACCTGGGGAGGAAGCAGTGCTGCAGCCCACTGAAATCTAGGGAAGCTTAAAAGATGCAGGGATCGAGAAGTGGGATTCCCCTCACAGCTGTCTGGTTGATAACAGTCATAGGGACCAGATCTGTGACCTTTTCAAGCATGCCACATCTGAAGTATTACATGTGGCCACAGTGTTTTACTGTTCTAATCTAGAGGGAATAGATAATATTTAACATAACAGACTTCTAGCGTGGACAAGGCATGACATTCTATTAACTTGTCATAGGATAATCATGCTAAAATACAAATTCTAACCTCATCCAAAGTAGACATGCTTAGTATATGGCAGCAGGCTACTTCGCTTTTCACTATTCCCTGAGCTGAAAGCAGGAGCGTTACCTCTTGTGTTTGTAGTTCTTTTTCGTGGTTGAGATTTCAGTGTGGTTGAAGAGGTGTTCCACTTCCTTTAAATGTGGAGGTGTCAGAAATCTCAGTGATACTCAAATATTTGAAAAGTATTTTGAAGACTAAAGCCCATCAATAGGAGTACAGCCATTCTAGAAATGGCCAAATGGTATGATCTCTGTTCTTAATGACCTTAATGATTAATTTGTTAAATAACTTTCTGGGAGAACACTGAATTAAGTAATAGCTGCTTGAAATTTTGTGGTACGAGAAGATGGCCTGCCTTGGAAACACCCATTGTAAGAGTAATGTGGGAAAATTAATCTGAAACTCATGATTAAATTTCAGGGTTCCTTGGAGATAACGCAGAGCACAGAAGATGATCCTCTACTTGATGCACCACTTCTTCCACCTCATGCATTACATTCCCAACTGAGACCGAGATTCCATGCTATTCCTACAGTCTTGATTGCCAACTTTCTGTTGCTTATACATGTAAGTTTTGGGAAGAATCATCTATTTTTTTTTTTTTTTTTTAATTTATTAGCTTGGGTATGAGCAAATAATGGGAAATTCTGGTTCTCCAGCTGTGATGTATTGGATCTAAAGCCGGGATTGTGGGGACAGAGAGAAGTAACTTGTGTTGCATACTCCTCTTGCCTTGTATTTTAAACATTCCATCCCAACACTGCAAACTTTCCACTCACATGGATATGGTAGGTAATCTTTAATCTAGTCCAATAAGAAGTCACTTGGTTTTAGTGAATTGGATAATGTCAGTGCTACAAAATGACATTTAAATTAGGATGTTGCCTCAGGACCAAGAAAACATTCCTGTACTTAAACTTGTGTAGAGTTGATTTAAAAGATTTAGTAATTCATATTAAACACTAATCCAATCTACATTTTTGACTTGCTTCTTCACTACTTTTAGTAAATTTAGCCTTGTCTGTACTCAGCTGGTGCCTGGTAAAGATTCCTGAGTTGTCCTAGCCCACCTTCCATCTGCTCAGGTTAGGAAAAAAGTCTTAGGCCTCCTATGTAAGGAAACTTGGACTGATGTAACTGCATCAGTGTGTTTAACAGAATTTGGGTAGCTCTAATGTGGACAGTGCATTAATGTCACATCTGTAGCGCTCCTTCCTTTTTTTGTTTTAAAGGCTCAGTCTACATACAAACTGTATCAACTAAACCAGTTTCCTAAAATGGACTTCACTAGATTTGAGCAACCCCCTTGTGTGGAGACTCTTAAACCAATGTAAGAGTGCATAATATCAATTTAGAAATCAATGTAGTTGGTGTAACTTCTGTATGTAGACAAACCCTAAACTCACTGCATGTTGGTAATTAGAAACATTTAAAATATGGCTTCTGTCTGTCAAGCTTTAGCTAGTGTTCTCAAGCACAGCTCCATCTGAATTTTTCTCACCATCCCTTTCTCACACCGCCGAGATATTCATCACTTGGGACAGAGGTCTTCTCAAGCTGTGGGGAGAATGGCAGGAGCCTACCATGGATGGCAAGGGTTTTGGGGAAAATGGTGGCAAGCAAATGAGTGTCTTAAAGATCATATCTTCAGGGCAGGAGGGAATAGGGAACATTCATTCCCCAGTAACTTGTACATGTAGCTCTTAAGCTGCTAAAGAGCAGTTTGGGGTGCAGAAAAGGCCGGGGGCGTGTAGGGAGGGGAAAAGGAAGGAACACTCAATCAACTGGTGGTCTGAGGGAGTCCTGCTACTCAAAACCAGATGTCCAGAATGCGTTCCCTCCTGTCAGAGTCCTCTTGAAATCAGTGTTCGCAAATGTGCATGCTGAAAACCTCAGACTTACTCTCTTTGCAACCTTCTTTTTGTTTTCCAGAGACTCCAGCTCCATTTTCATCTTAACTTTCCCTTACTCAGTTTTGGGGTATGTCAAATTGATCGGATGACCTTCTGGAATATTGATCTATTTTACTCCATTACCATATTATCCAAGCACTTGACAATTTTTAATGCATTTGTCCTTGCAGCATTCCTGTGAAATACGGAAGTGCTATTCTCCCCTTCTCACAGATGGGGAACTGAGCCACAAAGTAACTTTCTAAATGTCACACAGGAAGTTTGCGGCACAGCAGGGAATCAAACCCAGATCCTCATCACCATAAACATTAGGCTATCCTTCCCTCTCCAGTCAATTCTGAGGATGTACGCACTGCATAATATTTGCTCAGTTTCCATCTTAATCCTGGTCATTTAAAATATACATACCTATAGTTCCATGTTGGAATACCTGAGAAACAGCAAAGGTATTAAAAACACAATTTAAGTAACTGGACAGAATAAAAATGACAGTGGCATTCTAAATTACATGACTAGTGGACAAGACACTTGGGTTGGGAGATAAAAATATTAAGTGATTTACTCAAGGTCACACAGCCTGTCAGTGACAAAGCTGTGAAAAAAATTCAGATTTTCCATGTGCTTTTTTTAAAATCTGTAAAATGGCAATGAAACTTTTTTAGTACTCCTGAAGTGTAAGGATGAATTTGGAAATGGAAGGATGAAGAGCTGTGTTTAGGTAGTTTAGTTTAGGGCATATATTTCTCAAACAGATGCAGGGTGAGAAGTGATATCCACTCTCCAGACATAAAAACAATTTCTGGCTGATCTCCATTTGAATGAGTGGATCCAGTTCAAGTGTTGCATAAAACAAAGTATTGTACTTGTCCAGAATTAATTACCTGGATTAGGGTAGTACAGATGTAGTTATTGGATACTCTTTTTTTTTTTTTAATTAAATATCCCAGACAAAAATAGCTAGCTGCTATATCTACCTCCATGATTTCTAAACTGAAATCAGTTGGATTATAAACTTAAATTAACTTGTGGCACCATCCCTTAAAAAAATGGGAATCCTTAATGGTGAGGTTTTTGGTGAGAAGGAAGACTAGAAACTATCTGCATGCTTTTAAATATCAAAAATTTGCAGAAGTATGTCCTGTTAGTTCTCTGTATAAAATGCATGGGCTTATACTGTGGAGTATTATTGTAACAGGATATACACTACTGTTAGTTTGATATATGGAAGATATAAATCATGGGAGGGGGGAAAAAACATGTAAGAGGCATTTACTTTCTTCTCTACAAACTTAAGATCACTCTGAAATGGACCTACTATTAAATGGCAGCTTAGTATTAGAAGTACTTGTGGATAAACGTTTGGAGAGCTTGGAGTCCAATGGTGTGTGTTTGGTCTCCTCAGAATTCAAAACACTCTTGTTTACGATTTTAGAAGATCAGGGAGGCTTAGAATCAAAACCTGTCTTTTTTTTTTTTCTTTTGGGGGGGGGGGCGTTTAGTTTTGTAAGTGCCTAGGTATAAACTAAAACTAACCATGTTATCTCACAGGATAATTATATTTGAGCACTCTTGCGGGATTGTGGTCCGTTCTCCTACAGCAAGTTTACTGTTGACTGTGTTGACAATCCCATAAGAGGATAAGGCAGTAGAATAATAACTTAAACAAGGCTTAAATGCCTTCTTTTAACTAATCTATTTTTTTTTTAAAAAGCCACTATACCTATCCTCTTCCGCTTTGTGAAAATAAATGCCTGAGTCACCAACTTAGTCTGCAAAAAAAATCTTGTAGACAGTACAAGGAAGGATGTTTGACTTTCCTTAATACCCTTGACTAAAAAGCCGTGTCCTCTTGTCTGATTCTTCAGCCGCTCAAGGCCTTGGGCCGCTAAGCTGCTTTCTGGTGGCTTTTTGCTTTTTTAAAAATAGGACTAATAACAGGACTGGAAGTTAGTGGTTACCTACAGATCAACTGTCATGACCTGATTACATTCAATATGGGCAACCAGAGGACGGTCCCAAATGTATACCTGGTGTTTCAAAAGGGCTAGTTTCCCAAAGCTGAGGAAAATTATGAGCAACACTGATCTGGAGGAAAAATTTTGAAAAATGGGAGAGTCCTTTAAGAGTTTATTAGGTGGCCAAAAAGCCACAGCTTTGGCTAGAAGCGCATCCTGGTGCAGTGAAGGCAGCAATTATAAATGACAAAATCAATGTAGCACATGTAAAGAGAAATAGCAATTGACATAAACTAGAAATCATGAAATGTATAAAATAAGGGAAGCTAAAGGCATCTGGGAAAAATCCATCACTGGTAAGGCTGAGGACAATAAGTAATCTTAGTACTGTGTGCTACGAACAAAAAAAATCTAGGAATGTTGTTGGTCCATGAGTAGATGGAGGTGGTAAAATTATTAATGATGCAAAAAAGGCAGAACAAATATTTCAGTTCTGTATTCAGGAAGAAGATGCATGATATACTTATTGTACAAAGACGAAGTATCTTCTAGAACAGTGGTCTCCAAAGATTTTTGGATTGTGCAACCCCACGGTGCTGCCAAAGAAAGAAGGAGGGAAGATCTGCCGCAGGCGTGCCGTGAGGGGGGCAGGGCAGGAGGAGAGAAGACCTGCTGCAGGCATGCAGAGCCGCTGCTGAAGAAAAACAACGGCGGAGTGCCGTCTAGTGGCGCTCCTCCTTCTGCACACCCCCTGGGGTGTGTGCACCACACTGTGGAGACCACTGTTCTAGAAAACTGCATTAGGGATTCTAGGGGTGATCTTTTTTTTTTTTTTTTTTCTTCCATTTGAACCAATCCAGAAAATAAGACACAGTAGTTAAATTTTGGTAATATTGCTTATATTTTAACTATTAACCTTAAGGTCTGTCTCCTCTCTTTCCCTTCTTTCACAGGTTGCTTTTGTTGTCTTAGTATTTTTAGCAGGTATATATTGTTCTTATGTAAACCCAAATGAGGACGAATGCCCCGGAAACTACACCAACCCACTTAAGGTGCAAAGTGTCATAATCATTGCAAAGGTAATTCTGTGGATTCTGCATGTTGTCTTTGAACGATATCTTCAGCATCATCACAGTAAAGTCAGATGCAGAGGATACCTCATGATCTACCGATCAACAAGACATCTTAAAAGACTGCCACTCCTTATACATTCTACAGGTGAGAGAAACCGATTTGCATTTTTCTCTTTTACCGATTCTGTATCAAAAAATACCGTGAACTGAACTACTTCATCTACGCTTTATGAACTCCATAATTTTTAAGATTGTGGCACACTAGTTTGTTTGAGAGTGCTATGCTTAATAGTTAAATACAAACTTCCCTGCTCTTGCTTTTATTACTGTAGCAGCAGGCCAGAATTCAGCTGAGTTGAAATAGATTCAGAAATAGTAGCCACTGACTAGATGTCTTGTCCCATCAACTAAATCCGGTAGTCATAATGTCCTTGGAGCAAACATGTGCTGCATTTGGCTGCTAGTCATTTTGCCCTGTTTCTGACTGTTGGCTGATAAAATGCTGACTTGCATGCATCCACAGGGCCCCAGGAATGCTCTTGGCTGACTTTACTTTCTGAAGCCATTGTAGGCTTCATATAGTAATAAGAACCTGCACTACTTAGTCAGCGTGCCCACTTCTGAGCTTGAGTCTGCAGTCAAACTCCAGAATTTAAGAGCAAAGGGTGTTCAGGTTGGAGAAAAGCAGTCATGTAACATGCCCCATTAAAAAAAGGCTGGGGTGGGGAACAGTTGTGGTCTACTCTAGGTCCTCATGAAACAGCACAGACTTTCTCATTTGCTTGTATGGAGAGATCATGTGCATTTGTGGAAAGTGTTTCCAAGGGGTGCATTCCATAACTGCAAAATGGAAGAAAAGACAGGTGAAGGGGATGAGACCTCTTCAGACATTTCCACATACTCCAACTTCTAATACGACTTAGACCATATGTACACTATAGCAGCACAGCTACAGCACTGCTTGTGCTCTGCTGTAGCATAGATGCTTCCTATATTAGAGATAATGAAGGAAACCCCTTCCACCAAGGTGGTAGCTAGGTTGATGGAAGAACTCTTCCGTCAGTCTAGCCATGTATACACCAGGGTTAGGTTGACCTAACTGTGACACACAAGGCATGATGGGTTTTCACAGCCCTAGTTAGGTTGGTTCCTGATTTTTGAGTGTAGCCCAGGTCTAGGCTGCATGTTGCTGAAGTTTCAAGCAAAATAAAACTCCTTAATTTGCAGCAGAATTCATGTTACGAATGCTACTTCATCCCTACTTTTCCTGGGGAGAAGAGGATTCTTGGCAGCATTTTAACTCTGTACATTCTTTAGTTTTACTTTTTCTTCCTAGTGGCAGCAAGCATAGGAGGTGTTTAACGAGCAGCAGCTGTCCAGCTTTTTCCAGAAACTGAACTTAATTCTTGTCTAAAATCATATCATGGTCATGGCTCTTTTTTAATAGGGGGCCTTTTTATTGGAAGGCAGTGATTGTGGAGAGTACAATAAGCTGAGTACATAGTGTGCTTCAGATCGCTGAAATGGAAACTTCTCTCAATTATTTTGAGTGTGTGTGTGGTCTTGCAGTTTGATGTACTGATTTCCTTATGTTCGTTAAACTATGTCCCTTTTGCAAGCTTAGGGCTTCTAGTATATGTAATGGTTAAAATTCCAAGTGTGTAAACACCCAAGCGAAACTTCCTTGTTGGGGGTGAGGGTCAACTTCCCTCAAACACTACTGAGAAGTGAAGGTGGAAATTAAATGGGATGCCACATTTCATAAAGTGGCAAATTTGGCCTTGACAGTTCAGTCATCCAACACAGTATCCTGTTCCTGCTCTGCTTTAAAGCAGTATATGAGTTCTAAACCTACCTCACAGCTGACATGTCTTATGTTCCCTAGAATATTGTAAAAACTCTACAGCACAAAAGAAGGACATGGTACCTACTCTGAAGAACTTAATTTATTATTTTATATCTGACGCAAGAAGTGCATGGGGAGGGGAATGATGACGACAAATGGGAGGAGAATGGGAATTCAAATATCTCTTCTGCCTGCTCTGAATTAAATGACGCTAGTGCCTTGGTGGACTACTACACTGATGTACTGAAAGGTCAAATAATTAGACAATAGGTATAACATTCTTGTCAATCAATGATGACATTACTGATTCATTGTATATCTTAGCTGTCACTGAATTTTGTGCATTTGCTTGAAGGTTTCAAGAACTATAGAATGAAGCATTCTAGTCCTGTAGGACTTAAGTTTCACAAATAACTGTAATTATGAACACTTGTCTCTTTCTTACTCTTATGCAATTTAAATCACACACCAGTCATGTTTTTCCATTCCATAGCTATAATCCATCTAGCCTAACAAACAAGAGTCCACTGGGATGTAGGTATTGGAGGAGGGAATTTTTGAGCCATTTTTGGTTATTAGCTAGACTAAAACATGTAAATGTCATGTCTGTTTTTTCTTTTAAGGAAATGCAGCCCTGCTTCTGATACTGTCAGCTCAGCATTCCTTTCCTAACTACAGTAAAAAGTATCTCTACCTTATCCTTGGAGTCTTGTGTCTGGAGCTGATTTCTTCTTTGACATGCATAGTCATTTACACAGGTAAAAATTGTAATTATTGCCTTGTTGCGTGGCCTCCTTACAATAGCTACTAAACTCTTATTTTCTCAGCATAGTACAATAATTTTTGGCACCAGAAGACTTGTTTTACAATCATAGCTGCAAACTGGCTTCTCAGTATCTGTACACATTGCAGACAATCAGATGTTCTTGTTTAAAACAAACTGGGAAGTCATTTGGCAACATTTGGCTTAAACGCTAAATATTGCCAGATAAAAACTAGGCTAGTTGTTGGAGTTTAAGGCACTGTCCCATGAAGTTAGTGATGTAGTGAAACTGCAGTAATTTAAAATAGAAGTAAATGTCTAGCACAGATTGCTAGTGTGCTTTCATGACAGTTTCGTCAGACAGATATGCTCAATGTTTTTGTTTTTTGTTTTTAACTGTGACTCAAAGAACTAATATTCTTCTTGCCTAGTCAAAACTACTTTCCTTTGGCATGTGGAACTTAAATGTTTCAGCTGGTATATGGCATGTCTCAATCTTCAAACTTGCAATTTCCTTCCAGTTCCTCTTCTCTCCCTCTTTCCCCAATCTTATCACATCTAGTATTTGTTGAAGGTTAGTAGTTATAAAGTGACACTCAGACTTTTGGAATCCCTACTTAGTTATATGAAGCAATATGTATCTCTAGCCCACGTTCACTAGAACACTAACAGCTAGTACAAAATAATTAATTTAATGTAGAATACTGTATAGCATTACTGACCTGATGGGTTTGGCCTAATCCTCCAGGACTATGTTTTGTTTGTTCTATTAAACCATCACAATAAAACTCAAATTTAGATGACGAGATTGCTTGTATGCCAGGCTGAAAGATCATAGGAGTGACCTAGACAACATGAAATAAACGTCTACTCCTGGCTGCCACTAGTAAGGAAAACAAAAGGTGTTAAATACCACAAACCCAGGTAAACTAGTGTTTTGATTTTTGAAACCAGAAATTAGGTCTCCTGCTCTTTAAGCTGAGAACATAATCTTATTTAACTTCCCCTCTTGAGCTGTTGCACATGGAGTCTTTATTGCTACAGTGAAATACACAGACTAATACTACAAAGTGATATCTATTTTTATATCTTGCTTTTAAACACCATGTAAATGTCCTTTAACTCCTGGGAATCTTCATTTTCTTTACACTTCTTCTTCTTTTTTTTTTTTTTTTAATTGGAGGGGTACTGATTGGTTTTATTTAAAAACATAGTAGGCTTTCATCAACTGTACTTACTTCTTAGTGGGCTGATGTAGACAGCTTAGTGTGAAGTGAGACGACCAGTAGACTTCAGGGCAGCTCAGTTCCTGCTGGTGTCTCCTACACCACAAAATGAACGCTGACTGAAGTATCAGGTGGCTGCTAGTAGCTCAGCAAAATTACTGCGGTAGTGGAATTCAAGTTCTGGGGTCCTCTAGTTAGAAAGGAGACCAATTACAAAACTTAAAGTGAAGTGTTGACAAAAGAAGGGAAGGGATGAAAAGAGGTTGAGTTGAAAAGAGGAACAAAGTAGTTTCGGGGAGGGGAGAGGAAACAGCTGCTGTAACATTATGCTGCTGATTCTCATGGGACAATGCTGAAAGCCAAAGCAACTTCTAGATAGCCAGTGTTTGTCAGTAACTGACCCATAAGGTGTCTCAACTTAAAACTCTAGGAGAAACTTCATGACTAGAGAAAAGCCTAGTTAGTGACTTGCTATAAAGTTGCAGAGTGTAGTTTATTCCCAGTGTAATGGTACTCTACCAAAATCTGTAAAAGCTTTGAATACAACAGTTTCAAGATCTGACTTGTCTATTTTCTTTTTAACTTGTGCTTGTAATAGTATTGAGACCATCTCAAGAAATGAAGCCTCAAATGTACCAGTCTACCTCCCTTGGCTATAATAGAGGCTCTGACACTAGAATTGTCTACATGGGGAATTTGACCAACATAGCTGCAGCAAAGTATTCCTGTATAGCTATGTTGGTATAATTTCCTCAGGTGGACACTATAGTCTGGAGTAAATGTGACTTTGGAAGTAGAGTAATTACTCCAAATAAAAATCACTTTTATAGCACTTTTATTTGCTGCAGTCGGTATCTTTTCCATTGTGGATATCTACTTTTAATAAGTGGATATTGTTGAAATAGTTTTCTCCATTTTCAGCATAGTAAAGTAAATAAAATATCCTAATGAAAAATAGTGAGAGTTGATTTAGTGGTGTGCTTTTAGCTAAACACCCCCCCCCGCCCCCAAAAGGCTGGAACATAGTTACAAAGACCTGCATCACAGAAACAGCCATCATCCACTGCCTTGAAAACTAAAGCACAGATAGTGCACTAGCAATAAGATTTCTACCACAAGCAGAATAACCCAGTGGGATGCCATTGCTCTCCCTCCATTACCCAACTTGCACCTTTCATCCTGGGTATGGGGGAAGGGAAGGTAATGAAAACACCTTACAGGTTCTGTTCTCGTGGTGGTTGCCTCCACTCTGTTTTGATTTGGGCTTTCCACAATAGCACTTGTTTTTCCTAACTGTCTTCTGAACGGTCACATTCCTCAAACTTCTTCAAACTGCTCGATAGACCGAATAGTTTCTTACTGCAAATGTTACAATCTAAACAAAGTACTCCATTGCTTGCCTTGCTCACACTGATATTCAAAGAGCAAAGAATTAGGTATTTCTTTCTCAGCCTTGATCTCTTGTCCTATTTTAACTGGATAAACAACCAAGAAAATGTTGGTCTCCATACTAGTGTTTGAAGCTGAGCTTCATTCTCTAAACCTGCATGCGCCTTTAAACAAATATTCATTGAAACGGAGCTTCACACCCCTTTAAAAGATGAGGAGGCTCTGTAATCCCATCTAATTGATGTCGGTTCAAGATATACTGCAAATTGGTAAAGGAAGTGAGGGCTTTTTGGGTGGGAGGGCCAGGAGAGACTTAAATTGATACAGAACCACACATAGTGACTTCATGCACAAATTCTGTTAAAGGCCAAACTTCTGAAGTAAAACGAATTTGGGATGGGTTACAGCACTGAAAAGGCATAACCTAAATGGAGGGTCCATCCCACCATTTAGTTCTTGGTATTTCTGACAGAGCACTACCTGAGTGTGAGCATTAAGGCTCTCTGGCAGGATGTTTGGTTTCTTATTGCAGAACTTGGAGCATTTTTCTCTCAAATGTTTGAAGTCCCCCTCCAAAACAAACACTTGCCTGGAATTCTTTCTAGTACACAGATGTCTGTTAAAGTATGTGGCTCTAAGATGAAAGCAGTGTTGATTAACATTTTTAAGTGAGTTTGAGGACAGGTCTATATTAGAAACTTTTGCCAGTATAGTAACATAGGCTGGAGGCATAATTTTCTTACAACAGGTGTATACCAGCAAATCCTCCTAGTGGAGTTGCAGTTTATACCAGCATACAAATGTGTTTTGCCAGTACAGCTTTTCCCTCAAACGAGCATAAGCTAGTATAAACTGCATCTACACTAGGAGGATTTGGTGGCAAAACTGTACCAGTCACTATAGTTTCAAGTGTAGACCTGGCCTAAGGAACTCTGAAGTCTCTCAGGTTAGGTAATTCTCTTATGATAAACCACTTTTGGTAAGCTTTTCTTCTCCCCTCCAGAAGTGTTATAGTTTAATCTGTTCTGATGTATTCTGCTTATTTGTTTTTAAACTAAAGTGTTTTCACTAACTCAGCTGAAAGATCATAAACAATCTCAAACAGGGTTGTGCCATATTTCCTCTTCTGGCACCAGAAAGTAAACTGTCTTGTTCTGGCTCACACATGTTAAAGAATGGGTAGGTAGATTTTGTATTGCTACCAAACCACTTGCACTGTCACTTGAAATAGTCCCACAACACTGGCTATGGATTCTCTTGCAATTGTCCTCAAAATATTTTGGGGACTATACCAATTCCAAACATTCCCTGCCCTGAAGAGTTCACACGTTTTATTAAGTGCTCAACTTAATTTAGCTCTAATGGGGCATACAGTAACTAGACTAGCTAGTCCATAAATGTCTCTAGTTTACATCTTTTTGTGCTGTGGAGTTGCAGTGGGGGAACCTGTCCACCAAGGCCTTGTCTAAACACACAAGCTGTACCACTTTAACTACGCTGGCAGAAAAATCACTTCCCCCTAACCAAAATAGCTACTTACTTGTCTGCAGTTTTATGGTAATTTCAGTCCTTAATTAGGTCACTGAATGAAATGGTGACAACTTATTGTCAATGCAGGGCTGATATAAAACATAGTGACACATAACTGAGACTTGATATCTGATGCTCCTGAGTTTAGCCTTGTAGCATGGGGAGGCCAGGGCGTTAGAGGAAATTTCAAATCTATATTTAACTAAAATGAACTCTTCTTGGCTATTTTCTCTGCTCCTGGCAGCAATGGGAGGCATCTTATGATTTGTGTATATTGTCAGCAGAGATATATAATTCTTTAAACTCTGCACGTATAATACTGCCAAATAAAAGACTAATATTCTCACAGACAAGTCATGTTGGAAATTCCTGGTATCTCCTTAAGCTGTTTTTGCCTGTGTAATACTGTGATAGATGTGATAATTTCCTAGCCTGACATGGCTAATCTCTTGAGGGTCTTGTTTTATTCTAGCAAAGTGACCTTTTAATAAACCCTACTGCATTCTTGACTGGTAAAGGACAATTTCTTCCATATAGAGTTAAGTGCCAAAGTAGCTTGACTCCTTTTCATAGATCCAGATTGTGATACCCTTCCTCATGTTAGGTAATGCCTTGCTCCAGATAGTCCCAGTTACCCTAACATTACTCCACAAGCAGCCCTACTAAAGTGTCTGTCTGGCCTGTAATCAGTATATTTTCCTAATGGTCTACCTCTGTTCAGAGTGTAATCGTTCTAAGATCTACACATCCCCCAGCTCCCATTGATTTCAAAGAGGATTGAGGGTGCTTGGCACTTGCAAGATTGGGCCATATGTGAGGGATCAGAACAAAGCTTACTAGGCATGACAAATTCTACACTCTTCCTCTCAATTCCATATTATTCTATCCCCCAATTAAATATAATGAAGATGACCATTTGAAGGACTTATTTTTCCTTCCTCAGTGCCTTGAACTTAGAATAGGTTTTAAACTTCATTCACACACTTGAATGACCTGTCTCAGATAAAGTTTGAGGTAGAAGCAGACCACCCAGGGACAGTCTGGTTTGACTTTACAACTTGCTGAAACACTTCTGCCTTAATTACTCCTATGATCAGTCAGGCAACCTGCTTCTACATAGCAGGTGGCTTAGTAAAACTCTGAGGGGTGAGAGAGAAACATCCTTTCCTCGCTAGAGAGGCTGGAATAGAAGAGAATGGACCATTACATAAAGTAAGGTTTTAGGTATATCCTAGAAGATGTCACCCAAACTCTTATTTTAATGTCCCTTCTCTAACCAGAAATACACTGTGATACATCTCTAGCTTAACCAGGGTCTAGGTCCACACTAACCTGGATAGCCCAAAAAGGATCCGAGACTGGGACTCAGTTCACTTTCAAGGGGTAGTGTTTTCAAAAAGGTCTGTTACAATTATTAGCTTAGTTTTTAAAACTGAATGTTTAAAGTCATTTTGATGTCTCTATACTTGAAACTGTATCTTAGTAGAGATTACACTTTCACATGATACTGATTTTCACATGATTACACTTGCATGATACTGCAGTATTTGAGTTGCAGAACTGCTGTGGAATAGTATTAAAAATGTCTTTAAACTGTCATTGAAAAATTAGTATAAGTTATACATGCTTAATCATCATGGGGGACTATTCTTGCACTTGAACCAAATTGGCATTTGTAACCTAACTATTTCTGGATCTATTAGGAAGTATAGATTATGGACATGTTTTCAGTTTCCAACTGGCACCATTAATGGCATTCTTGTCCGCAAACCGAGTGTGTATTGATTTTTAGGCATGAAGACTGAGCTACCATGTTATCCCTGTAACTGGTCCTCTAAGGTCAGATTGAGGCATACTGACCCCAACTACACTACCCTTCCCTGTGTTTAAAAGTGATAGCAACTTCTAACAGTTGTTGCAGCCAATGTGAATAGGATAAAGTGCATCAAGAACTGACTAAAACCTGCTTTTAGTTTAAAGCATATTCAGCATGGACTATGGTAATGGAGACTCATTTGAGTGGTGTCCTATAAATGCACACATGGGGTGCACAATCATAACTCTTCAGGAATTGACACAGTCTGAGCAGGTAGTAAGTCCTTAAATAATGTGCGTTAACAATACAGAGTGAACTGCCACACAAATATCAGGACTTTCATGGGGATTTTCTGAGATTTTAATATAGTTATTAGGACTGGTTGATCATAACTATACAGCACTCCCACACAAGAACTGTTGTATATGAGATTAGAATGCTGCAAATAGAAAAGGGAAATGACCACTAAAGATACAGACAATGTGGCTCCTAGCCTGCTCTCTAAAGAGGTGTTTTGTAAACTTGGCAGATTTGTACACAATTAAGCACAAGACAATACAGGCAGCAGAGAGCAAGCAAGTGAGTTTTGTCATCTTTTGTGGGTGGGGGGGAAAGACACAGGAAGTTTTCTTTTTCAAAGAGCCTCTTATCACTTCAGGAAATGTAACATTCCCCACTGCTTGGGGCTCTCAAAGCTAGTGCAAGCTCCACAATTCTCAGGCATGCCCTTATGCAATTTTGAGCAGCAGGATCAAAGGAAAAAATGCCAATTCCTAATGTGTAACCTGACCCTCTTGTTGGGCTCCCTGGGTATCTCCCCACTGATACTTTTGAGGCAGGTTTGAACCCTGTGTAGGACTCTGAGTTGAGGAGATAGACCACGCTATTAAAAACTCTCCATTAACTACCTCTTTTTATTTCAGTGAAAATAAGCAATTTCAACAAGGCAAGGCCAAGGCCTGATATAATTGAAGAAGAAAAGATGTATGCTTACCCCAGTCACATTACTTCGGAGATTGGATTCAGGTAACCGCTTCAGTTAGTTTATTTGGGTAACTCTGTGAACACTTAGCATCAATTTCTGTACAGAATGGCATGTGGGACCTTAAAGCCATAAGGAAAAATAGAAAGGTGATATAAAAATGCCTTAATGGACTTCTGTAGCATTACGGCTGCTATATTATATTCACAAAAATCAGAAACTGTAAAGAGTCCCCCTCAGCAATGGTAACTTGGTAGAATACAAAAATACTTAATCATGAAAAGGGTATGTCATTTGCCTTAATAGGTACATAGGGGCCATGTGACAGTTATTGGTGAAATTTTATATGAATCTCTCCTGTGATGTTCTAAACATAACTAGCTGTGCTTAGTCTCCTAACATAATTGGTTTTAAGCAGTCTGTGGAGAAATAGTGATGTCTTGGATGTCATTTCAAATGTGTCTTTGTATAAACCAAGGAACTCTTGCCCAGAAAGTATTGGGTTGATAGCTGGGAGGGAAGTAAATTGGGTGCTCCTTTCTAGACAGTAAGAAGGACTTTTGCAGCTTGAGGTCAGGGATTTCTCTCTTAGGCTGGGGTCAGGAGTATCTAACAGCTAGTATGGGGTTAGAAGTAGAATTTCTCTCCAATTGTGGAAATATACAGATATATTGCATTTTTTTTGTTGGCAGAGGGTAGAGAGACCATGAATAAGCCTATTTGGAGAGACCATCATTCACCCTGCTCATGTTAACCTGACAAACACCCTGATCCATGTATTTTTTTTGACTACTACATATTTCAACAATTGGAATGTGTTTAAACGTTTGATCTATTCAAAGATTAGGGTACTGTTTTGGAGGAGTGGGGGGAACTACTGCTCCTTGCATCTAAGCTAGACTGCATGTGTACTAGATCTACTAGATCACATGCCCTGGTTCTCATGGGTGACTTTAATTTTCCTGATATCTGCTGGGAGAGCAATACAGCGGTGCATAGACAATCCAGGAAGTTTTTGGAAAGCGTAGGGGACAATTTCCTGGTGCAAGTGCTAGAGGAGCCAACTAGGGGGGGAGCTTTTCTTGACCTGCTGCTCACAAACTGGGAAGAATTAGTAGGGGAAGCAAAAGTGGATGGGAATCTGGGAGGCAGTGACCATGAGTTGGTTGAGTTCAGGATCCTGACACAGGGAAGAAAGGTAAGCAACAGGATACGGACCCTGGACTTCAGGAAAGCAGACTTCGACTCCCTCAGGGAACGGATGGGTAGGATCCCCTGGGGGACTAACATGAAGGGGAAAGGAGTCCAGGAGAGCTGGCTGTATTTCAAGGAATCCCTGTTGAGGTTACAGGGATAAACCATCCCGATGTGTCGAAAGAATAGTAAATATGGCAGGCGACCAGTTTGGCTTAACGGTGAAATCCTAGCGGATCTTAAGCATAAAAAAGAAGCTTACAAGAAGTGGAAGGTTGGACATATGACCAGGGAAGAGTATAAAAATATTGCTCGGGCATGTAGGAATGAAATTAGGAGGGCCAAATAGCACCTGGCGTTGCAGCTAGCGGGAGATGTTAAGAGTAACAAGAAGGGTTTCTTCAGGTATGTTGGCAACAAGAAGAAAGCCAAGGAAAGTGTGGGCCCCTTAATGAATGAGGGAGGCAACCTAGTGACGGAGGATGTGGAAAAAGCTAATGTACTCAATGCTTTTTTTGCCTCTGCCTTCACGAACAAGGTCAGCTCCCAGACTGCTGCACTGGGCATCACAACATGGGGAATAGATGGCCAGCCCTCTGTGGAGAAAGAGGTGGTTAGGGACTATTTAGAAAAGCTGGACGTGCACAAGTCCATGGGGCCGGACAAGTTGTATCCAAGAGTGCTAAAGGAACTGGCGGCTGTGATTGCAGAGCCATTGGCCATTATCTTTGAAAACTCATGGCGAACGGGGGAAGTCCCGGATGACTGGAAAAAGGCTAATGTAGTGCCAATCTTTAAAAAAGGGAAGAAGGAGGATCCTGGGAACTACAGGCCAGTCAGCCTCACCTCAGTCCCTGGAAAAATCATGGAGCAGGTCCTCAAAGAATCAATCCTGAAGCACTTGCATGAGAGGAAAGTGATCAGGAACAGTCAGCATGGATTCACCAAGGGACGGTCATGCCTGACTAATCTAATCGCCTTCTATGATGAGATTACTGGTTCTGTGGATGAAGGGAAAGCAGTGGATGTATTGTATCTTGACTTTAGCAAAGCTTTTGACACGATCTCCCACAGTATTCTTGTCAGCAAGTTAAAGAAGTATGGGCTGGATGAATGCACTATAAGGTGGGTAGAAAGCTGGCTAGATTGTCGGGCTCAACGGGTAGTGATCAATGGCTCCATGTCTAGTTGGCAGCCGGTGTCAAGTGGAGTGCCCCAGGGGTCGGTCCTGGGGCCGGTTTTGTTCAATATCTTCATAAATGATCTGGAGGATGGTGTGGATTGCACTCTCAGCAAATTTGCGGATGATACTAAACTGGGAGGAGTGGTAGATATGCTGGAGGGCAGGGATAGGATACAGAGGGACCTAGACAAATTGGAGGATTGGGCCAAAAGAAATCTGAGGTTCAATAAGGATAAGTGCAGGGTCCTGCACTTAGGACGGAAGAACCCAATGCACAGCTACAGACTAGGGACCGAATGGCTAGGCAGCAGTTCTGCGGAAAAGGACCTAAGGGTGACAGTGGACGAGAAGCTGGATATGAGTCAGCAGTGTGCCCTTGTTGCCAAGAAGGCCAATGGCATTTTGGGATGTATAAGTAGGGGCATAGCGAGCAGATTGAGGGACGTGATCGTCCCCCTCTATCCGACATTGGTGAGGCCTCATCTGGAGTACTGTGTCCAGTTTTGGGCCCCACACTACAAGAAGGATGTGGAAAAATTGGAAAGAGTCCAGCGAAGGGCAACAAAAATGATTAGGGGTCTGGAACACATGACTTATGAGGAGAGGCTGAGGGTACTGGGATTGTTTAGTCTGCGGAAGAGAAGAATGAGGTGGGATTTGATAGCTGCTTTCAACTACCTGAGAGGTGGTTCCAGAGAGGATGGTTCTAGACTATTCTCAGTGGTGGAAGAGGACAGGACAAGGAGTAATGGAGGTTTAGGTTGGATATTAGGAAAAACTTTTTCACTAGGAGGGTGGTGAAACACTGGAATGCGTTGCCTAGGGAGGTGGTGGAATCTCCTTCCTTAGAGGTTTTTAAGGTCAGGCTTGACAAAGCCCTGGCTAGGATGATTTAGTTGCGGATGGGTCCTGCTATTGAGCAGGGGGTTGGACTAGATGACCTCCTGAGGTCCCTTCCAACCCTGATATTCTGTGTATATCAAATCTGTGACTAAATACCCCATAGTGTGTGAAACACTAGCATGGAAGTAGTCTGTTGGTGTGGTGCTGAGAACACAGCAGAAAGATCTAACAGTTCTGCTAGTCAGTCTCTTCTGAACCTTTAATGTTCACAATTTCAAACTTCCATGCACTTTCTGGAGAAACTGATGTGTGACCCTCCCCCCAAATATACCTGAGCAGCACAGAAACCCAGGATGTAGGGAAGGTCTTCAGTTGTGTTGTCCTCTTATCACATTAGAGGGAGTGTGTGTGTGGGGGGGTGTATAGTACAATCTGTATAAGGGATCACAACCCTTATTGATTCAGCTCCCCTCTTGACTCATTCTCAAACATTCTGAGAACATTTCTGCACCACTTCATAGTAAGACCACCTGTGCTGAGCAAGAGACTTATTAACCCCTTGAATAAATTGTTTAAAGAGCAGGTCTACTGTGAAAAGTTCTGTAAAAGGAAGACAGAGATTAGAATTCCATGCTTTCTTGTTCTCTAGATCAGATGTCTCCTTAAGAATAACTTTGCAGGGCTGATAATCCAAGCTGGGATCTGAGAAGAGCTGTTTCCTTCCTTCTCATACTTGCCCTGTAGTAAAAGTCCTACAGGCCATATTTTGCCCTCAATAACTTGTGCAGCCCTGTTGGCTTAAGTGGGTTTGTACTGGTGTAACTGACAGGCCCTGGAACTGTAACTATTAAACAACTCTATTGATGTACAAGAAGAGAATGCAACTCTGGTTCTGTAGGGTTAACAAGAATACAGACTAGGGAAGCTTCTTAAACATGGCAACTTCTGTGCCAAGTTATTCTTCAGAGTAGAACTGCACTCTAGGACACATTGTATTGTACTCGAAGTCCACTGAAGATTGTATTTGGGTCTATGTGGACAAGACTATATGCATGTTCAAACACCTGTTTCAAGCTTTATAAAAGCCTTAAATTTATTAGAGCATAAATTCTAGGATTTAAGTGTGACATGTTCCTCCTAATGTGTTCTTTGGAAATCCAAAGGATTTTTTTATTTAGAAATCCTCTCTAGGCCAACAAGAATGTAACTTCAGCCAGCATGTATGACTGTTACTTGTCTGAAAAAAGGTCATTGGGTGGCACTACTAGAACTAATTATAGTTAAGGTTGTACAACTTTCTCCATTAAAGACCCTGTTTTCAGTTGTATAACTACCAGACTTTTGCTGTTTGGGCTGAAATTCCAATTCAGCCACCTGCTTCTGAACTTTTGGAACATTTTCAGCAAACATGGTTCAGTAATCTTAAAGAGAGAATGTGGGAAAGAGTCATCTTATCCATGGCTTATTTGTAGGAATTGCATGGCTGACAAGCTGTAGCATCTCCATGCTCTGGAGGGACTCAAAACTTGGCATTTTACTGGGGTTTTGTTGGTGGGGATAATAATGCATACGCACAAGGAGTTGGGTTAAAGTTGAACCAGGTAACCTTACATCTGGCACTGGCTAATTCTAGAGTGCTTGACTTTGTAACTTTAAAGTTTAAATATAGTTCTTTTAATTATTAGCATAATGGTGTCAGTGCTGAGTTGCAAAGGAAAAACTGATCCAAGTAATCACTTAGTATGGTGGATACTGCTTCTTGAAGTCTCCTGTGAACTATTTTCAGCTGCATCATACAAACAAGTGCTCTTTGTTATTAGTTTAACTGTAAATTGGAATGCATTTTTCTGGGGCCTAAGTGAGGCTAATGGGCTCTGGCAATGACTACTAAATTATAAACCTTCCTATCTATTCTTCTTGACTCTTTATGGTAAGTAACTTCTCAATTCAGGCTATAAGAAGAAGCCATTACAGCATTCTTTAGTACAAGAAAACTGGCTAAATTCTAGCCAACAGCCAAGCACTTTGCATTTGATACTTTTGCCTTTTTATAGAACCTTTTCTTAACATCAAGCCATGTAGTGTATTTAGATACGTGTTCTATTTTAGTTATGGTTTGATAGTCTTTGAAATGCCTCCAAATATATTGCTTATATCCAGAATAGAGTATCTCAGTGCAAGTACACTACATGGCTTGAAGCTTAAAAAGCTGTATGCAAATCGGAGCAAACAGTAAGCCAGCTACAACAAAATGAAATGAACTTGTTTATGTACACTATTGAGGCACCAAATCTTTGAATGAGGAGTACAGCACTAGCATAACTTTAAGTTTATAGCTTTTACCAAAACTCTTCTGTTCAAATAACTTCTGAATATTATTGTAACGTTGTCTCGTTACCATGTTAAGTTTTAGCAGAAGATGTTTAACACTAAAGTTAAACTATATTTATTTGCCTGGAAGAGGACCTGTGTTTAATGGCTAACTCCCTACCCTTCCCCTCTGACCCTTTCCCCTTAGGGTAATTCAGTTAAATTTGAGAGACCAGGTGGGTTTTTAACCACTTCATTGAAAACCACAATAGAATCCAAAGGAATGCTTACTTTACTTTCTGTACGGCATCCTGGGATCAATTTCACTCCCTTCTGGGTGGCCTGGGCAGATGAACCTTCCTCTCTGTTCAGAGTCTGTCTCCTCTTCACACAGAGAAGCTTTTAACTTGAGAGATATAGAGTGGGGTTATGTTTGTGCCTTGTAATTGTCCTATGCATAGCCTTCCCAGACAGGTCCAACCACGGCTTCCCCTACTACCGAAAAATATGGAATTCAGACGTACTACAACATTAAACAAAACACATGGTAAAACAGCGATGGGATGAACATCATAACTAGAAGGTAAAAGTGCCTTGACAAAAGGATCTAAGGGTGCTGCCTATATGGGGCCTCTCCAATCCCCTATCACCCACATAGTTTTGCTAAATGTTCAGATATTCCTCTTATGGCCCAAACTATTGTCTCACGGTAGGAAAGTAATCAAGAGGAACTAAACCAAAGTCATGAGAAGAGGTTTGTAGAACTATCATCAGTTAGTGCCAATCTCTTCTATGTGTAGTGATAAAAAGTTTGTAATATACTCCTTTAACATGAATTGTGAATAACTTTCCTCCTTTTCTTATGTCTTCAAGGGAAAGCTCAGGTTTGGAAGAAATAGTTGAAAAGCAAGGAGATGTGATAGACTATCTCCAGCGACACAATGCCCTGCTCAGCAAGAAACTACTAGCACTAACATCACAGCAAATCAGAGGTTAGAAATATCCAGGAAGCTGCTGCTGCATTTCAAGAGGAATCCAAAGCAATGTAATTTGATTTGGAGGACATACAACACAACTTGATTACTGTCTCTAATGGAAGTAGTATAGCTCTCAAGTTGGAAGTATGCATTCATATTAGAAATGTAAAATCTGCAGCTGGAGATACTGACTAGTCTGAACAGACACTTTCTTTGAGGACATTAACTTTTGCTGGGCTGAAGTTGGACCTGAGCTCCCTGACTAAACTTTGTTTTTACGTTGTTCAATTGAGATTTTTTTGCACAGCTGTAACAAACTCCAAACTACCAAAGTCTTCTGTGCTTCTAGAACCCAAACATTTGTTTTCCAGAATGAAACATTGCAAGGTATGGACCCTTCTGACTTTCTGGGTTCCTTATTGTAGAGGATAAGATGAAATCAAATATTGTAACATGCTATAACTGTGCTCCGTGTCTACCATGTTGAGTTTTTAAAGGCTATTTGTTTCAATATTCCCTAAACACACGTCCACAGTTGGAGTGGAAGAGTCTATAGAGTAAATTGAAGAGACTCCGTTTCTGGATCAGTGTCTTTTGCTGTTGTGGTGGGTTTTTTTGTTTAGTTTTTTCCCTTTGACCTAAAAGGGGTAACTACACAAATGGGGAAATGAAGCAAAGATGAAGAATCGGGTGTCTGGTCTAAAACACATCCAAGTCTCTCCTTTGTATGCAGAAAAAGCAGGATTTCACTTCTCTAAGCATAGTATAAAAACTAGGCTTGCAGACATTTGATCAAATTGATGGCTGATCAAGCATCTAAACAGAATTTCAGTGTAAAATGTCTAAATCTGATTTTTAGAGCTGTCCTAAGTATTTGTGGCTTTTTTGCTGAACTTTTTCCAAAAACTATAAATAGGAACTGTTCTGCATACCAAAAAGCATCAGCATTAAATATTTATATTCGGAGAGAGCTTTTTTGTAAACTACTCTTTAGTTCAATACATGAGAATTTACAGTGGTGTGTTTTTTCTTCCCCTTAGGATGGTGCACTGTTAAGTTAGAGTCTGTAAAAGGTGCTACTGTTGCAGTTACAATGATAGCGGCTTATACAGTTTGACGACCTTTCTCTAAAGTGTTGTCATTTTGACTCTGAAGCCAATGGGGGTCATACCATGAATGGGAATTGGGTTAGAATTTTCGTTACTCAAAATGTCTGTAAACATCCATCTCTATGTACTTGGAGTGGATTCTCTAGAGAAGCTGGTCCTTAAGCCTGAACACCTGCCTGCTCAGGTGACAGTGGAGCATACCCAGACCACTCCCTGAAACTTGCGTTAAAAGCCAGAGAACCATTCTCTTCTGAGTTTCTGCCACCTTGTTTTCCAAACCTTACCCTACCCATTGTGTATCCTACTCGATATTTCATGGGGAGACAGGCTAGCCTCTGAGCAAAGTAGAAAGAATCTCAGTTTAATGCTGGGAGTGGTGGTCATCTCAGAACACCAAAGGAAAATTACCCCATTCTGTCTTGGTTCTGGGACACAACTTGGTGTCCAATTCTATTGTAATCACTCGGAGTAATGAATAACATACAGTTCTTGTAGTTGAGGGACAAAAGGAAAATTGGAGACTTGCTGCTATCTAACATTATTCTTTTCTCCCTAGCTGTATTTTTTTAAAATACAGCTGATTTTATACTGGATATTTGAGGGATATATGAATCTTTGTTTTTAGAACACTCGGGTTTTGATGTAACTGCATGTAACCATTTGTACATATATCTGTCTGAAAAGCTGAGAATGTGACTGAAGTTCATGCACAATAAATGCAACTAAGGAAAAGTTTAAAGCCTTTCATTACAATGATCATATCTACTGTTCAAATATTTAAAATGGGAATCTCTTAATTTAAGGATTTTGGACCAGTCTGGAAAAGCAAGACTTTTGGATATGGCATTTAATCTGTACTGCCAGATAGCAGCATTTAGATGGAGAAGGCACTTTCCTAAACTGCTGATCACAGTAAAACCCTGCAAAGAGGAAGAACAGGATCTACTCGTTTATGAATACTCCAGGTGCCTATGTTCTAAAGGTAACATGAGGAGGGCTAATAAAAACTTCTTAAGGGCGCCTCTCTCCAGCAAGTTCCTACAAAGGTGGTGGCAGCCTTATCTATCATGGATAAGTTCCTCTAAATTCCTGCTGCCCGGACAAGAGTAAGTTTGGGTTAGCTTGATGCAGCTGGTTCCTACTGGAGCATCCCGCTGAAGCTAGCTTGTAGCAAAGTAGTAGGTAATAGCATCTTCACTCACTTGGCTGTTCTTAAAGCAAACTTCTCCACTGCATCAGTGGAAAAAGCTAATGGGCCGTGTGCAAGAGTAATACTTGGTACTAAGCCATGTGGGAAACCTGCCTAAGTGAGAGGATAGCCCAAGCAGAGCACCTCATGGCTCCTCTTACAGTGAATCCTCTAGCTCCACACCAATGGAGAAACTAAGATCTGAATGCAATGATTGCAGACTAGAATCTAGCGCTTCTTCACAATCTCACTGGAACTAGGGCTTGGTCTAAACATGGAATTTATGTTGGTATAACTACATTGCTCAGGGGTGTGGAAAATCCACTCCTGGTCAACATAGTTACAGCGATCTAACTCCCGATGTAGAGTGCTATGTCAATGGGAGTGCTTCTACCACCTCTTGGGAACATGGAGTTTCTATGCCAACGAAAGTAGCTCTCCTATTGGCATAGGTAGCGTCTTCATTAAGTGCTACAGTGGTGAAGCTGCACCACTGCAAGTGTAGACGAGCCCTTGGTTTGGTATTGCTGTCTAATAATAGAGCACAATCTTAAATTCAGATTTGGTTCAGCTATAGCTGCCTTCTGTGACCTCAGTTTCTTTTCTGTCCCATTCTGAGACTTAATTGCTCAATCTGCAAGAAGCTTCCTTTGGAGGATTCCCCGGAAAACAAATCATAAGAGGTCTCTGAGCCTTGCAGGGGTGAGTCTGGTGGCTCAGACAATGGTGGGGGCTAAAAAGGGCCAGGGCCAGGTACCACGAGATTTCCAGCCCCCAGAGGATTTCCAGAGTGGGCTGGAGGTCTTAGAACCATGATAGGAGCTCTGTACTTAGGGCCACTTCCTATTTTGTTGGTTTCTAGTAGTCAAGGAAGACCAGGGTAACAGATAATCACATGGATTACAGGCAGCAGTTTGGCAATGACCAAACCAACTCAATTATGCAGGGCATGTGGCTGGCCAACTGCAGTATTGGGACCAAGAACCTGTGGGGCAGCAGGATGGGCTAACGGACCTGGGGCAGCTACTTGATGCAGGGGCCTGTGTTGCCTATCCCATGTGGGGAAGCAATGGGGAAAATTCAGGAAGGCAAGAGGAAACAGCAAAAGGCCAGGAAGGGAACTACATCCTAAGCATCCTGGAGATGATGTGCAGCTGGAAAAAATGTGCAGGGCAATATGACACCTCTGCCTTGCAGCAGAGTGATTTCGCAAACAATTGGGGCCCACTGTGAGGGCAGGGGGGCAGGCCCCAGGGTTCTAGCGTCCTCAGTGGGTATTGTCATAACCATACAGCTAAGGGTAGCCTAGAATCTCTCCTTATCTGTAAGGGGTTAAGAAGCTCAAATAACCTGGTTGGCACCTGACCAAAAGGACCAATGGGGAAAGAAGATACTTTCAAATCTGGGGCGGGGAAGGCTTTGTTTGTGCTCTTTATTTTTGTGTTCTCTTGGGAAGCAGAGAAGCACCAGGTCAGAAAACTCCTCCTCCTATAAACCATCCTAAAGTGAGTCTCAATATTGCAAAAAGAGTAAGTAAATAAGGCAGGGTGCGTTCGATTACCTTTCGTTTTCAACTTGTGAATTTTCCCTATGTTAAGAGGGAGGTTTATCTCTGTTTTTTGTAACTGTAAAGTTTTGCCTAGAGGGGAATCCTCTGTTTTGAATCCGATTGCCCTGTAAAGTTACCTTCCATCCTGATTTTAGAGGTGCTTCTTTTACTTTTTTTCTCTTTATAATAAAGTTCTGTTTTTTTAAGAATCTGGTTTACCTATTTGGCTGGTATATTATTCTCAAGTCTTCCCAGGAAGGGGGTGTAGGGCTTGGGTTGGGGGGGAGATATTTTGGAGGAATAGGAATTCCAAGGGGTCCTTTCCCTGATTCTTTGTCTAAATCACTTGGTGGTGGCAGTGTACCATCCAAGGCACAAATCCTTTGTCCTTGGGGAAGTTTTTAACCTAAGCTGGTAGAAATAAGCTTAGGGGGCTTTCATACAGGTCCCCACATCAGTACCCTAGAGTTCAGAGTGGGGAGGGAACTCTGACAGGTGTGTTTTGCAGTTCAGCATATTCCTTCAGTGTGGCCTTATGGTGTCAGGTGAGTGCTTCTGGTGGAAGTAATGGGAGGGGTGCCAGGTGCCTTCAGGGTCTGGCCTGCAGGGAACCATAAGAGGAATGTGAACAGCAGGTCATAGAACATACTGACTGTCTTCAGGTATTGGGGATGGAGGAGGGGGAACCCAAGGCCTGGGCCTTCCAGCATCTCCGCCTCGGTCTCCCTCATTCCCAACTCTACAGCCTTGGGTCCTCTCTGTGTGTCTGGGTCGGTGTCCCTTCGCTTCTCCTCTCCCCCCCCCACCCCCTCCCGTTGGGCCACAAGAGTGGCCATACTGGGTCAGACCCAGTGGTCAATCTAGCTGCTCATCCTGTCTTCCAACAGTGGCCAGTGCCATATGTTTCAAAGGGCATGAACAGAACAGGGCAATTATCGAGTGATCCAAGCCCAGCTTTTGGCAGTTGGAGGTTTAGGGTCTACTAATATTGGTCTGAATCCAGTGTCATCTTACACAGCTGTTTCTGATCAGTTGGGGGCCCATCTTCTCCAGACAATATGTGAGAAGATACGGCAGGCTGAGTATATGGACTGCAGCTTAACTCCACTCAGAGGGTGGCTGGGGCCACACAGCTGAAAAGAGCAACATAGCCAATTAACTTCGGTGTTTTAGCCCCCCTTTCAGGAATTACCCCAAGAAGGAAGATTCCATATTGTGGGGTTTTGTTCAGGGTTTCAGGATCCTGTATGAAGGGGAGAGGGTGCATGTAATGGCAAATAACTTCAGATCTGATTAAAGTCATGGAGGGCACTGCCAGGGATAAGATCCAGAAAGGGGTTTTTTGAGCAGGATTGTGGATCCCTTTTGGCTATTGCCACAGCCTAGTCTCCATATCTTCCCCTTGGGCCTTATCACGTAAGTGACCAGTGAGTGTCTCCTTATTCATGATCTCTTGTACCCAATAGGAGAATTATTGACAGATGTGATTAACCCCAAGCTGTGCACTGTGCCTTATGTATCATTTGATGCAATCGTGCATGTAGTCAGCTTGTGCACTACTGTAGCCTTGCTTGCAAAGACTGACAAAATTGGCATTCTGCCTCCTCTCAGTCTACCTGGCAGACTCTGATCTCTTGGGCCTTTCCTTCAATGGACAGTTTGTGGACAAAGCAATGCCCATGAGCTGTGCTATTTTGTGTGCAGTCTTCAAAAAAAAATTCAGTACAATTTTGGACAGGACAGTTAGGAGGAGTGCAGGATGCCAGCAGGCTTACTCATTTCATATAGGGTCTGCAACTATGATGCACCCAAACCCAACTGGGTAGCCAGATGTCCAGGTTATAGGACACTGGTAATCCAGGCCTATAAATTTTTCATGTGCCTGCCTGAGGGGAGGTGGATGCAGGCAGCGGGGTTGTAAGTGCCACTGGCTTTAATAGGGTCTACTACATTCCTATGTCTGTCGTGTATATAATGCACCAGTACAGTCAGTTTACAAGAGTGTGTAATTCAGTGATAAGCTTGTAGCTGGGCCTTGCCTGGGATTTGATTTTTGTCTTGGCACAGCAGCTGGGGCATGTGCTGGGAATAGCTCATGTCTCTCTTACATGGGCTGGCACCCTGAGACCACATGTTGGCCATCATTGTTCTCCCCATAATGACCTGAGAACCTAATCCAGTCTCAAACTGACTTGAAAGCTCACTGGGATGTTGGACTGGTGGTGGATGTTTCCCGGCATGGGGATGGTATTGTTGGTGGTTCGTGGATAATCTTGCTAATGGGCTGCCTGAACTCTTACGTAGTACACATGCATGCACCCTATCAAGAGCTTTCTGGCTATGGGATATTCTTGGGCAGATTTTTCAGTATCTGTTGTTTGGAGCTGGTCCGCTGGGCATAAACTAAATATGCATGGGACCAAAGACAGTGACTATAGCCTAGTGGTTAGAGCACTCTTTTTACTGGGAGGTGGGAGGCCCATGTTCAAATCCCTGCTCTGTCAGGCAGTGTGAGTCTCCCATATCCTTTCGTGAGTGTTCTAACCCCTGGGGAAGAGGGAGGGGGCTGTGCTACCTTCTCCTTTGTGTGGGTACACATGCTACCTAATCAGGCCCTGCAGGCAAAATAGGCGGGGGAACATCTAGTTTGAGAATCCCACTGGGTTTTAGGCCTGAGACTAGCAGCTGGGTACCTAGACTCAAGCCCACCCCGGCCCCGCCATGCTGCCCGTTCGCCACCTCCGGGCCCCGGCTCGCTCCTATGCCAAGGCGGCTGCCGGCCCAGCCCAGATGTCCTTCACCTTCGCCTCACCCACGCAGGTGTTTTACAATGGAGCCACTGTGAAGCAGGTGGACATTCTGGCTAACCTAGTGAGGAGGGCTTTAAACTAGGTTCACCGGGGGAAGGAGACCAAAGCCCTGAGGTAAGTGGGAAAGCGGGATACCGGGAGGAAGCACAGGCAGGAATGTCTGTGAGGGGAGGGCTCCTGCCTCACACTGGGAATGAGGGGCAATCAACAGGTTATCTCAAGTGCTTATATACAAATGCACAAAGCCTTGGAAACAAGCAGGGAGAACTGGAGGTCCTGGTGATGTCAAAGAACTATGACGTGATCGGAATAACAGAGACTTGGTGGGATAACTCACATGACTGGAGTACTGTCATGGATGGTTATAAACTGTTCAGGAAGGACAGGCAGGGCAGAAAAGGTGGGGGAGTAGCACTGTATGTAAGGGAGCAGTATGACTGCTCAGAGCTCCGGTACGAAACTGCAGAAAAACCTGAGTGTCTCTGGATTAAGTTTAGAAGTGTGTGCAACAAGAGTGATGTAGTGGTGGGAGTCTGCTATAGACCACCGGACCAGGGGGATGAGGTAGATGAGGCTTTCTTCCGGCAGCTCACGGAAGCTACTGGATCGCATGCCCTGATTCTCATGGGTGACTTTAATTTTCCTGATATCTGCTGGGAGAGCAATACAGCGGTGCATAGACAATCCAGGAAGTTTTTGGAAAGCGTAGGGGACAATTTCCTGGCGCAAGTACTAGAGGAGCCAACTGGGGGGGCGCTTTTCTTGACCTGCTGCTCACAAACCGGGTAGAATTAGTGGGGGAAGCAAAAGTGGATGGGAATCTGGGAGGCAGTGACCATGAGTTGGTTGAGTTCAGGATCCTGACACAGGGAAGAAAGGTAAGCAGCACGATATGGACCCTGGACTTCAGGAAAGCAGACTTCGACTCCCTCAGGGAACGGATGGCCAGGATCCCCTGGGGGACTAACTTGAAGGGGAAAGGAGTCCAGGAGAGCTGGCTGTATTTCAAGGAATCCCTGTTGAGGTTACAGGGACAAACCATCCCAATGAGTCGAAAGAATAGTAAATATGGCAGGCGACCAGCTTGGCTTAATGGTGAAATCTTAGCGGATCTTAAACATAAAAAAGAAGCTTACAAGAAGTGGAAGGTTGGACATATGACCAGGGAAGAGTATAAAAATATTGCTCGGGCATGTAGGAATGTTATCAGGAGGGCCAAATCGCACCTGGAGCTGCAGCTAGCCAGAGATGTCAAGAGTAACAAGAAGGGTTTCTTCAGATATGTTGGCAACAAGAAGAAAGCCAAGGAATGTGTGGGCCCCTTACTGAATGAGGGAGGCAAACTAGTGACAGAGGATGTGGAAAAAGTTAATGTACTCAATGCTTTTTTTGCCTCTGTTTTCACTAACAAGGTCAGCTCCCAGACTGCTACGCTGGGCATCACAAAATGGGGAAGAGATGGACAGCCCTCTGTGGAGATAGAGGTGGTTAGGGACTATTTAGAAAAGCTGGACGTGCACAAGTCCATGGGGCCGGACGAGTTGCATCCGAGAGTGCTGAAGGAACTGGCGGCTGTGAATGCAGAGCCATTGGCCATTATCTTTGAAAACTCGTGGCGAACGGGGGAAGTCCCGGATGACTGGAAAAAGGCTAATGTAGTGCCAATCTTTAAAAAAGGGAAGAAGGAGGATCCTGGGAACTACAGGCCAGTCAGCCTCACTTCAGTCCCTGGAAAAATCATGGAGCAGGTCCTCAAAGAATCAATCCTGAAGCACTTGCATGAGAGGAAAGTGATCAGGAACAGCCAGCATGGATTCACCAAGGGAAGGTCATGCCTGACTAATCTAATCGCCTTCTATGATGAGATTACTGGTTCTGTGGATGAAGGGAAAGCAGTGGATGTATTGTATCTTGACTTTAGCAAAGCTTTTGACACAGTCTCCCACAGTATTCTTGTCAGCAAGTTAAGGAAGTATGGGCTGGATGAATGCACTACAAGGTGGGTAGAAAGCTGGCTAGATTGTCGGGCTCAACGGGTAGTTATCAATGGCTCCATGTCTAGTTGGCAGCCGGTATCAAGTGGAGTGCCCCAAGGGTCGGTCCTGGGGCCGGTTTTGTTCAATATCTTCATAAATGATCTGGAGGATGGTATGGATTGCACTCTCAGCAAATTTGCGGATGATACTAAACTGGGAGGAGTGGTAGATACGCTGGAGGGGAGGGATAGGATACAGAAGGACCTAGACAAATTGGAGGATTGGGCCAAAAGAAATCTGATGAGGTTCAATAAGGATAAGTGCAGGGTCCTGCACTTAGGACGGAAGAACCCAATGCACAGCTACAGACTAGGGACCGAATGGCTAGGCAGCAGTTCTGCGGAAAAGGACCTAGGGGTGACAGTGGACGAGAAGCTGGATATGAGTCAGCAGTGTGCCCTTGTTGCCAAGAAGGCCAATGGCATTTTGGGATGTATAAGTAGGGGCATAGCGAGCAGATCGAGGGACGTGATCGTTCCCCTCTATTCGACATTGGTGAGGCCTCATCTGGAGTACTGTGTCCAGTTTTGGGCCCCACACTTCAAGAAGGATGTGGATAAATTGGAGAGAGTCCAGCGAAGGGCAACAAAAATGATTAGGGGTCTGGAACACATGACTTATGAGGAGAGGCTGAGGGAGCTGGGATTGTTTAGCCTGCAGAAGAGAAGAATGAGGGGGGATTTGATAGCTGCTTTCAACTACCTGAAAGGGGGTTCCAAAGAGGATGGCTCTAGACTGTTCTCAATGGTATCAGATGACAGAACGAGGAGTAATGGTCTCAAGCTACAGTGGGGGAGGTTTAGATTGGATATTAGGAAAAACTTTTTCACTAAGAGGGTGGTGAAACACTGGAATGCGTTACCTAGGGAGGTGGTAGAATCTCCTTCCTTAGAGGTTTTTAAGGTCAGGCTTGACAAAGCCCTGGCTGGGATGATTTAACTGGGAATTGGTCCTGCTTCGAGCAGGGGGTTGGACTAGATGACCTTCTGGGGTCCCTTCCAACCCTTATATTCTATGATTCTATGATTCCCACACTGAGCGGCTCCTTCGGCATTTTGGCGGCTCACATTCCCACCCTGCAGGTCCTGAAACCCAGAGTTGTGACGGTCTTTGCCGAGGACAGCACAGTGACTAAGTACTTTGTGAGCAGTGGTTCCATCACAGTCAATGCAGACTCCTCTGTGCAGCTGCTGGCAGAAGAGATGACCGCTTTAGACATGTTGGATCTCGCTACTCCTAAGTTGATGTGATGCCTAAAGCAGTAGTTAAGCACTTAAGGCTTTTGTGAAGCTAGCCCAAACTTAATTTTCATAGCCATTTATGCCCACTTCTAAGTCACATTTGTTTAACATCAATAGGAACATTAAGCTAATGCTGAGCACCTCTAAAATCCCACCAACAAATTGAGCTTCATATAAAACCAAGGCTAGCATTGAATGTTGGAGCAGTGCACTGTGGATAGCTATCCCACAGTCCCCGCCACCCACTGAAATTCTGGGTTAAGCTCCCAGTGCATGATGGGGCAAAAACATTCTCGTGGGTGTTTCTGGGTGTGTTGTTAGTCGCTCCTCCCTTTGTGAAAGCTATGGCAGACAATTATTTCATGCCTCTTTGGCGTGCAGACGCCATACTGCTTTCAACAGACTGTGCACCACCGCTCTCCTGCTACTATGAATCCACTTCTCATTTCCTCTCCTCTTCCTATGTAATCTCTACTATCTAGTCTCTCTTTTTCATCAAACACTTCCGCTGCCAACTCTGCTTGGCCATCGTGAACCGAACAGCACAACTTCCGCCACCAGCTCTGCTCTCCCGCTATTGCCACGCTTCCGAGCTTCTCCATGTTGTCTGTCCTAGGCTCCCACCTCCGTGAAAGCAACAGAAGACAACCATTTTCCGCCTTTTTTTCAGCTGCTGTGAACCACACAGCACCTCTTCCACTGCGACTCTGCTCTCCTACGTTTCACGCCCTTTTTCCAGGATTACCATGCAGGCGCCATAGCCAAGAAGCCCGATCAGATCTCCACTGCAGTTTTGACCATTGTAAATACCTCGTGCATTATCCAGCAGTATGTGCAATACCTGCAAAACCAGGCAAGGAAGCAATGACAGCGCGATTACGATAGTGATGAGGACATGGACACAGACGTTCCTAGAAGCACAGTATGTGGCGATTGGGAGATCATGGTTGTGTTGGGCCAGGTTCATGCCATGGAATGCTGATTCGGGACCTGGCAAACAAGCACAGACTGGTGGGACCGCATAGTGTTGCAAGTATGGGACGATTCCCAGTGGCTGAGAAACTTTCATATGCGTAGGGCCACTTTCATGGAACTTTTGTGACTTGCTGTCCCCTGCCCTGAAGCACAAAGACACCAAAATGAGAGCAGCCCTCACAGTTGAGAAGCAAGTGGCCATAGCCGTGTGGAAGCTTGCAACGCCCGACAGCTACTGGTCAGTCAGGAATCAGTTTGGAGTAGGCAAATCACCTGTGGGGGCTTGTCAAGATTCCTTCCCCACTCTGAACTCTAGGGTACAGACGTGGGGACCTGCATGAAAACCTCCTAAGCTTACTTTTACCAGTTTAGGTTAAAACTTCCCAAAGGTACAAACTATTTTACCCTTTGCCCCTGGACTTCCACTGCCGCCACCAAACTTTATCTGGGTTCCTGAGAAAACATAGTTTGGACATGTCTTTCCCCAAAAATTAACCCCAACCCTTGCACCCCACTTCAGAAAGACTTTAGTAAAAATCCTCACCAATTTGCATAGGTGACCATAGACCCAAACCCTTGGATCTTAAAACAATGAAAAAGCATTCAGTTTCCTTACAAGAAGACTTTTAATAGAAGAAGAAGAAGAAGAAAAAAGAATCACCTCTGTAAAATCAGGACGGTAAATACCTTACAGGGTAATTAGATTCAAAACATAGAGAATCCCTCTAGGCAAAACCTTAAGTTACAAAAAAGACAGACAGGAATATTCATTCTATTCAGCACAGCTATTTTCTCAGCCATTTAAAGAAATCATAATCTAACACATACCTAGCTAGATTATTTACTAAGTTCTAAGACTCCATTCCTGTTCTGTCTCTGGCAAAAGCATCACACAGACAGCCACAGCCCCTTAGTTTTTCTCCCTCCTCCCAGCTTTTGAAAGTATCTTATCTCCTCATTGGTCATTTTGGTCAGGTGCCAGCGAGGTTACCTTTAGCTTCTTAACCCTTTACAGGTGAGAGGATTTTTCCTCTGGCCAGGAGGGATTTTAAAGGGGTTTACCCTTCCCTTTATATTTATAACAGGGCTGCTATGCTGCAAGTAACCAACACAATCCTTGACCGGCTGCTATCAAGGGTAGAGACTTTGGGAAATGTGCAGGTCATACTGGGTGGCTTTAATGCGCTGGGGTTCTCTAACTGCAGCAGGGCAATAGACGGAACGCATATCCCTATCTTGGCCCTGGAACACGGGGGCAGCCAGTACATAAACCGCTAGGGGTACTTTTCCATAGTGCTGCAAGCACTGGTGTATCACGAGGGACGTTTCACCACCATCAACATGAGATGGCCGGTAAAGGTGTATGATGCTCGAATCTTCAAGAACTCTGGTCTGTTTGAACAGCTGCAGGAAGGAACTTACTTCCCAGACCAGAAAATTACTGTTGAGGATGTTGAAATGCCTGTAGTTATCCTCAGGGACCCAGCCTACCTGTTAATGTCATGGCTTATGAAGCCATACACAGGCACCCTGGCCCGTAGTAAGGAGCAGTTCAACTATAGGCTGAGTAAGTGCAGAATGGTGGTAGAATGTGCGTTTGGATGTTTGAAAGCACGCTGGCGCAGTTTACTGACTCAGTTAGATCTCAGCATAACCAATATTCCAATTGTAATTGCTGCTCGTTGTGTGCTCCACAATATCTGTGAGAGTAAGGGGGAGACATTTATGGTAGGGTGGGAGGTTGAGGCAACTCACCTGGCGGCCACTTTCACACAGCCAGACAACAGGGCGATTAGAGTGCAGCAGGACCCGCTGCACATCAGAGAAGCTTTGAAAGCCAGTTTCATGACTGGCCGGGGTACAGTGTGACAGTTTTTTTTCTCAAAGTTACCCAAAGTTTTTTTCTCAAAGTTTCTGCTGCTTGTGCAATCCTCTGGGGTTGACTGGGTGAGTCCCCGTAGCCTCCCCCTTCCGTGTTCTTGAGCATCTGGGTGAGGAGGCTATGGAACTTGGGGAGGAGGGAGGGCAATTATACAGGGGCTGCAGCAGCAGTCTGTGGTCTTGCTGCCTTTCCCACATTAGATCCACCATACAGTGGAGCATGTCATTTTTCTCCCCTATGAGCCTGACCATAGCATCCTGCCTGCTCTCATCGCGCACGTCCCTTCTCTCTTTGTATTCATGTAACTCTGTAAATTCGGGGAGGGATAGCTTAGTGGTTTGAGCATTGGCCTGCTAAACTCAGGGTTGTGAGTTCAATCCTTGAGGGGGCCCTTTGGGATCTGGAGCAAAAACTGGGGCTTGGTCCTGCTTTGAGCAGGGGCTTGGACTAGATGACCTCCTGAGGTCCCTTCCAACCCTGGTATTCTATTCTATGACTCCGCAATTGTTTGCCTCCACACATTCAACTGGGCCCTATCAGTGCGAGAGGACTGCATGAGCTCAGCAAACATGGTGGCCCGAGTTCGTTTTTTCCGCCTTCTAATCTGGACTAGACCCTGAAGGGGCTGCGTTGAAACATTTGCACCTGCTGTGGGAGGAGGAGGAAAAAGGGAGGGTAGTATTTTAAAAGATCCCTTTGTTCTCCAAAGTATGACACTCTTAAGTGAAACAGGCAAGTCCTAGTACACAGCACATATTCTTTCTGTACAAGGTCTCATTTTGCCTCTTATACTGAAGTGCCTGCCGCTTTGGTGTGAGTAAGCCATCACACGTGGCCAGGCAACAGAATTCAGTTTGCAGGCAGCCATGGTAAACCCTAGTCAACCCCACCTCACCCAGTCAACCCCAGAGGATTGCACAAGCAGCAGAAAAATGGCACATCCTAAATTTTGATTTGGTTTCTGGACTTGTCCTTCCCTCCTCCTCCACTCCCTTAACCCAACCCCCTTCCCCCCCCCCCCCCCCCAGCTTCTGATTTCTCTGTGTTTTGTGCAACAAATAATAAAGAACGGTTTTTAAACAATTGTGACTTCATTTCCTTTAAAATTTTTATATTTTTAGGGAGTGGGTAACTTTGAGAAAAAAAAACTGTCACACCGTACCCCATCCAGTCATGAAACTGGCTTTCAAAGCTTCTCTGATGTGCAGCGGGCCCTGCTGCACTCTTCTAATCGCCCTGTTGTCTGCTTCTTCCGCATTCATTTCAATGCTTTCAAACTGCCAGGCCCCTTTTCCTAGAGCAAGCAATGCCTGGTGGGTTTGCCATATAAAAGGAGGGCCTGCGGGCTCTCTGGGACGATCACTTCACACAACACCCTTCCTCCTCCCCCACCCCCCCCACCGACCGTGTGGCTCCGATGAGGCTCTGAGCAGGGATGAGCCCTTTAAACTAAACGCGAAAAGCCCAGCATGGCTGGGTTTCTCCCCACCGCTTGGCTCCACTCAAGCTCTCACTCACCAGCAGTGCCTTCTCCAGGGTCATGGTCCAGGAGCATGCCTTGGGAGTGGGGGGAGGCTACTGGCTCCAGCATTAAGATTAGTTCCTGGCTAGGGGGGAAAACAGATTCCCTACTTGCCGCCTGTGCACTGTCGTCGTCCTCCAAAAACTCATCCTCCTCGCTCCATTCTACTCCCCCCTTGCAGGTGTCCACGGACAGTGGTGCAGTAGTGGTGATGTGTCCCCCCCCATAATTGCATGGAGCTCACGGTAGAAGCAGCATGTATGGGGCTGTGACCCAGAGCACCCATTCGCCTCCCTGGCTTTTTGGTACACTTGCCTGAGCTCCTTGACTTTTTTTTTGTACGACACTGCTCTGCATCCCTGGAATAGCCTCTTTCCATCGTGGCCCTGGAGACTTTAGCGTACGTATTTGCTTTTTTTTTTTTTTGGAACGTAGCTCTGCCGTAACAGATTCATCTCTCCAATATGCAATGAGATCCAGTACCTCCCGTTCAGACGATGCTGGAGCTCATCTCCGAATCCGGGACTGCGTGGTCACCTGTGCTGATGGTGGACTGTGCTGATGGTCGCCTGTGCTGATTGCAACCAAACAGGAAATTCAAAAGTTCTCGGAGCTTTTACTGCCTACCTG